GATCATACGTCTTTGGACTCAAAAGTCAAGAACAATGTCTTATAATTGTCTATATCCCATTTTTAGTAATTTATTCTCAAAGAACAATGCTATAATCTGTAATTTATCATCTTTTAGTTTAATTTTCTAAATATATGTGTGGTTGTCTATGTGTGTGTATCTCTTTAAAAATTCTGCAATTTCATCATTTTATGACCCCCATTTGCGAAGTTGAGTATTTATTTCCAAAAATGCGAAACTCCAGGGACAATATTTGAAATCTTCTGTTTTCTTCCCCAATTCGCATTCTACTGTGAAATATTTCGCATCTTCATTCTTACACCCTTCGCATCCCTTCGCATTAATCACCTTCGCATTTTAACCTAATTAATCAAATGCGATTCACAAAATTTTTCATTCCAGATGCGAACACAGTTTAGTTCTTGAACTCTAAACTTGCGAAATCAAAAATTCATATGTTGAACCCATATGCGAATATTAACCCAATTGACTTCAAATTGATTCATAGATGCGAACACTCGATTGTTTTACTTTCGCAAAATGAGCATCAACAACTCCACAATCGAGTTTTTAAATTCTTGCAAACAACAATTTCATAGTCCTTGACTTCGCGTTTTTCTTCACGAATCATCCCTCAATCATCAATCCAATTGCGAATCAAAAACTCATATGTTCTTGCTTTATCGATTCATCGACTACACTCATACAAATGCGAACAATACTCAATTTCAAAATCGATTGAAACTTATAGCAAAGCTAAATCCAACTTCGCATTAATCACCTTCGCATTTTAACCTAATTAATCAAATGCGATTCACAAAATTTTTCATTCCAAATGCGAACACAGTTTAGTTCTTGATTAGCACGAAGGCTTAGGAAATTTTTAACACAAACTTTTCTCCTGTGATGTTTTCCCATTAACATAGCAAGTTATACAATACGAACATAACACTAACCCTAATACACAAGGTTAGTTGAGCTGACCGGTTTGACTCGTTGACTTTATTTGACTTTGAATTGACCAGAATTTGACGGTTGTCACATCATGGCTCTTGCCGCACTTCCCACAAGTGCGGGCCTTCGATCCTCTAGATCTCAAATCAGCGGGCTTTGCCCGCTTGGCTGTCGGCTGAGACTGAACCGGACGCCTATCCCTCCTCTGAGACTCGGCCTCCTCCCTGGCCTGGGTCTCTAACTTGATCTCCCTCTTCCTGGTATTTTCCTGGAGCTCAGCAAATTTCAGGTATGTTGACTTCTCCACGAACTCACGAATGTCTCTCCTGGATATGCTCAGATATTGACTCATGCATGCCTGCTCAATAGACACGTGCTCAGGGAAAAACAACGCCCTCTCATGAAACATCCGTGTTATCACAGTCACGGACTTCGTCCCCTGCTTGAGGGACAAGAACTCCTGCGCCAACTGTTCCCTCTCCACCAGGGGAACATACTCATCTCGGAGCATTGTGGTGAACCTCTCCCAGGTCACCACTGTAATCTCTGTAGAATTGAAATCAACCATCACAAATTTCCACCAATCCTGTGCTCCCAAGCGAAGCTGGGTCAAAGCGAACCGAACCCTTAGATGCTCAGGACAAGAACAAGTGTAGAATTATCCCTCAATGTATGGGATCCACCTTATCGCGACTATCAGATCTTGAGCCCATCAAACTATGGTGGCTTCGTGTTGTTGAACTCTCGATACAGCAACGAGTCACTTCGCTGTGGCCTAGCGGCAACAACAACTGCTATGGCTGCAGCAGCATCCGCCTCGGTAACAGCAACATACCTCTCATCAAACGTCTCAATCAGCGTGGTCTTGATAGACCCAAACATCTCCGAAATGGCCTCCTGGATCGCCGTAGCCACCTCTTCATGTATCATCCGACGAATCTCCTCGTCGCTAACGCTGCTGCCCCCTGGTGTGTGGCGTGTCCCAACCATGATGTCTTTTGAAACACAACACAAAAGATATCAGAGACTCGCTCGAGTATACCCGCACTCGATACTCAACCTTACTTGTTCCTTGGTACCCTAAGGATTCTTACTTGGACTGTTCACCGACCCCGGTGCCTCCAGTAGTACGGGCCCTATACTACCTTCCACACCGCAAGTATTCACCCCAAGTCCTCCTCCTCAGATCCTAGGTCGCAAGTACTCTATATCTCTCTAAGCACAAACTACTCTTTAGTAGACCACTCATAAGTTCCTTGCTGCTACATGCTCACTCTCGAAGCATCTCATAGTAGTAGTAATCCCCTAGGCTGAGGCATCATAAATCAGGCCACTCTAGTCTTAAATATGAATACCTACCCTACTCTAGCATGCATAGCATATCACATAATATCACATAATGCAAGGGTATTTTGGGAAATCACCGTTCGGGCGCTCGCTGACTCGGCGAGTTCATGCGTATACCCCGAATCCTTCTAAGACCTCACTCGACTCATCGAGCTAACCTCCCAACTCGACGGGTTACCACTGGTTACGAATCGCAGGTCAACTTGATTTAACTCGTCGAGTTCTCTCATGGACTCGATGAGTTTCCTCCATGGCATTACTCATTTGACCTTTTGAGGTCATATCTGTTCCTTTAATCTATAGATATGGATTTTTAGCACCCAAAAGTCACATAAAGGTCTGAACTTGATGTCCATGCATGGCACATCAAGCTCCATTCGATGAAATAACCACTTTAATGGTGTTTTAGGCTCAACACACTCATGGTACTACATAAAGTTAAGCTCAAGGGACTCTCTGGACCTATCAAGGTCCAGATCTGATGTCTAACTCAAAAAGGGACCTATCATCTTCATAACCTAGCTCCAAAAGAGGGTAAAAGACCCTAAATCCATGAGATTAGGTACAGATTTGTACCTAATACAAAAGTCTTAAGTGAAGTAGCAGCTAATCCCACGACCTCCTTGCTTCCAACCCTTGAAACTCTCCTCCTTCCTTTCAAAGAACACACCAAGAAGCTCACAAAGGTGCTATTTCTCACTCTAAGCTCTCAAGGGCGATTAGGGTTTTCATAGGGGTTTGTGTGGCCGCAAATGAAGGTCATAAGGACCTTTAAATAGGTCCCAAACCTGGGCAATTAGGGTTTTCCTCATCAGCACCGACTTGTCGAGTCAGATACCCGACTCGTTGAGTCCATTCATTAAACTCGTCATCTAAACGCGACCCTACTCAACGAGTTGAGGCACCGACTCATCGAGTCCTTCCAATTAACTCAAAATAAATAATTAAAATATCGTACCCGAATATCCGGATGTTACAAGGGGCTACTCCTCGAGTAGACAACCGACTCTCCGAGCCCCCTTGTTGAATCCGTGTACAGAAAGGACTTTACGTATTGCTTTGCGAACCTTCGTAGGTACTCGTCGAGTAGACGTCCTTACTTGCCGAGTAGCTTCAGGATTTGGCATTTTTCTTCATTTTTCAGCTTCCGAGCTTTCGATCGTATCTCCTGCTTCCTTTTTGTTTCCGACCTTATCTTTTGGATTGAAAATATAATTTAAACACTATTAAGTACCTTTTGTCCATAATTTGAAAATAATCAGCTAATAAATAAAAAAAATCTATACTAAATATATTGCTAAATATGCACATATCAATATGTTATTAGCAATACGATTCAATAATGATTCTTGAACATATAGATCCAACATCTTATTCAAGAGATATTTATTGAAATTTGAAGGATTAAATTCGAGAATGAGGGATATATGGTAACTATTTCTAATGGCATGGGTGAAAAATAAGAAAGTAAGTGTTATTATGTGAGAAAAGTTAAGGCCTTACGATGGTGGGGATACAATAGATAATCTGATTGTAGATATTAAGAGAGAGAGAGAGAGAGAGAATAGGGTTAGAAATAAGATGAGAAAGATGGAAGATACGAGTAGTTTCCTAGTTGGTTATGTGCAGTGGAGGGTTACAGGAGTGCTGGTGGCTAGAGATTTAGTGGTGGTCGTAGATGAAATATGGACAAGGATGAAGACAATGGATGGTGTCAAGGTTCTTTCAGCTTAATCTAAATATTATAATATTAAAAAAACACAAAGTATTCTTTTTGTATGGATAAAAGGATTAAGATTGTATTTTGTTAATATTATAGGGGATATAACCTATTAACTTTTTAACTTTAAGACCAAAACTATAAATTTATTAAATTACAAAGACCAACAATGTAACTTACTATATTTCTAATTTTTGATTAAATTTAAAAAATAATAATTTATGGGAGTAGTGTGATTTGTATTTTTTGAACTTGGATTTATCAAAAATAATTAGAACATTGCAACACGTGGGAAATAACGGAACGAGTAAAACGTAAAGAGACCGCGTCACGCGTGACCATTCGCCTGGAATCTTTAACCAGTCACCCGATCCAATCTTGTTTAAAATTCCACGCGCCACACATTGACACTAACCAATTACAGATCCCCACGTCATCATGCATATCATTAAAAACTCTCACGCCCTAACCGATGCGCGTGGGATTCTAAATCATTTCCAGCCGGTTCAAGCTCATACTCCACTGGACAAGCCCGTTGAAAGCCAGTCAGATATCAGTAGATTGCAGGTTCCACATTCATTTGAATCTAAATTTGCATTTGAATTTCATTTCATTTCAGAAAACTTGCTTTTATCCACCATTGTTGAAAGCTTTGACTTGGACCAAAGAATCATAGAAGAAAGAAGAAAAAGTCTCACCTTCCTCCCCTCCTTCCATAGCGTGTGCTATCTGCGTACTCTATTTGTATCTTCATTTCCAACATCATATAAGATAAATCCTTCACCCAAACTCCCAACTCACTCTCTTCTTCGATCCAATAATCTATCGATACTTACTTCATTCATCATATCAAATCTGAAATCATCACTCTTAAAGGTATGATACTTCTCTTCAATGAACTAAATAGTTTTATTTTTATTTTTTACTT